AGATAGATAGATAGATAGATAGATAGATAGATAGATAGATAGATAGACAGACAGACAGACAGACAGACAGACAGACAGACAGACAGACAGAGTAGGTAGGCAGGCAGGGATATTATATGGGCCCAACGAGGAGTAAATGTACATGTAATTAAAATGGTTCAGAGGTTCATTGATGCATACAGTGAATCAATTAAGAGATGTGGGGAAAACACGTTCTCTAATTATCCTAAGACAGATTTTTCTCCTGGTCTCTTGAAAAATTATTAATTCTGTATGCACCTCAATTCTGTAATTCTTATTCACTGATGCATATCACTCAGTAGTAATTAGCAAGAAATATAATCATCATCATCATCATCATCATCATCATCATCATCATCATCATCATCGCACCTCACTCTTGTTTGCCAGTCTCCTGAGTTTTCCAGACATAATCAGGATTGAATGAGCCCCAGCAAACTCATATGCTGCAGTATTTTTGGATTTCCAGGTACAGTCATTACAACTCTGTACACACCCACACCAATATTCCTGTGATTGTGGAGTTCCTTTGAGCATGCTGATCCTAGCTGCATTGGTAATGGTGCTACTTGGTCTACAAAAGCAGTGACTCAAAGTCTGACTATCAGAAATAGAAGGAAGGATAACAATGCTTGAAGATCAACAGGTGCCCAATTATATGCACTTCCTTACCGCACTGGTTGATATTCAGCTCCTGTATGGGTATGTGGCTGGTCTCCATGCTAGTGCAGTACAAGTCCTGGTTCTGCAAATTGGCTTCTTCTCTCTCCTGCCACAGCTGGATCCAACGGATATCACAGCTGCAGTTAAAAATATTGTTTTCCAACTTCCTGTGTAGAAAAAGAATGTTGAAATTGTGAGAGAAGAAAAGCAAAAAAGAAGGCAAAATACTCAAATGATGAGATGGGCAAAAAGCAAATCTGTATCCAAGTCCAGATATGATATGATGGTGATGATGATGATGATGATGATGATGTTAAAATCTGATTCATTTAGCACCTACCTCCATGAGAGTAAACCTCACTGTATGACAGATATAGATAGGACATTGCTAAAATTCTCCAGAGAGAATTTTTCATTGGTGCAGTAGAATGGAGGTCTTCTACAACTTCCTGCAGAAACAGGAAGCCTATAACATTTCAGACAAATGGTTGTCCAATCTCTTTTTAATCAACAATATTCAGATTAAATCAACTAAACTTCAGTGTTGATTAATCTATTGGATTCTATGGAAAACCTCACAACCATTATTAGCTTAGTGAACAGATAACAAAGCAGTGCTGGAGTGGACCAGAAAAAGACCATCATTACTAAAACATCATCACTGAATTTAAGTCATAGCTTTTTTTTTGCTTTGAAATATGTATCTCCTGTTTCTTGTTCTAAACACCTTGGCATTCATAAGGTCATGCAGAGATCATGAGTTTTCATTTAGCTTGTCTCCTCTTCTCCTTGCCCAGACATGCTCAATAAATTCAAGGATCTATCCATAATACGCCTGTCTTAATGCATTGACTATGAGCTCCTGCTGCTTGGGGAGATGAGGGAACTTACAGCCCATCATGCAATTTAATTGAATGAAGCAGCCAGCTTTGTATACTGTTTGACCTCATTGACCCAGCTGGCAATGCTGATGTTTTAATGTACAGTACTCTGTTTAAAAAGACACTTACATTTTATATACTGATAATTTTTATTATTGATTTTTTACAACTAGAAGTGTTGCTGTATGCCTGAAAGTATATTTACTTTTGCTCGAGAGTTTCCAGTTTTCATGCAAAAAGATAATGCTGATAGATCCCTCATGGGCATCTAGAAGCTAAATCAGAGTATTGGAACACTGGTAAAATTTTGAAATAGAAGCAGAAATAACATTAAAAAGGGAATGACAGGAAGCCAAAAACAGTTGGCCAAGTTGGCTCATTTTCTTTATAGGTTTGATAAGATCTTTTTCTTTGCTATGAAGTAGAATTAGACCAACTGGACCAGCCATGGATGTTGTAATGCCAAGATGAAAGGAAGGGTGAGAACATTATTGGTGGTTGGAAACCATATATTGAGTTTTACACTGAAAGCAGAAAGAGGCTTAACTTCCTGCTTGTTGAGTATATTAAGACTCCTTCCTTCCTTCCTTCCTTCCTTCCTTCCTTCCTTCCTTCCTTCCTTC